TTTTGTGGTTCTAATAGAAGCTCAAAGTTTTTGTTTTTGCTTTACTTCAGGAAATAGTCACATGGTACAACGCGATTCGAGCCGCTCGCTATGCGTACTTGAAGACGGCCTACCCGACAGGAAGCGATGAAGAAGTAAGTGTCAAACTATTTCATTTTAAGCCAGCTGTATGTCAGTTTTTAGCTTGTACATTTTAGTATTTGACATGTTTACTGTCTTGTGTCTTCATCAGTTGTTACCAATGATAACAAGAAACTACCTCAAAGAGGGTTACATGGAAAAGACGGGGCCTACGGTGAGCTCACTGAAGTCACTCGAGCGTCATTCGCACGCCCATATTATTTCTCTTCTACTTTGATTTTTACTCACACTCACCAGCAAAGTTGTTTGTGACGACATTATGTGTGATCAGTACATCTGAATGTGTCTCTGTTCCTCTTTTAGACTCTGACTCACATGTGCGTGCAGCTCGAATCTTTTTTCTTTTTTAAGAATCAGTTTCTGCGATAGAAGGTTTTGAGGAAATGAAGTCGGATGAGCACATTTTTCAAATGCACATTTTATTTTTTAAATCAAATGTTTTCTTTTATTTTGTACGCAGCAAACAGAGTCATTCAAAAGGAGGTGGTTCATTTTAGACTCTCAAAACAGGAAGTTGCTCTACTTCAAAGGCTGTCTGGTGAGGACACTACCTCTTTTTTCCATCTCGCTCTAACCCCACACTGTACACCTATGAAGTATGTGAGTCACGTGCTTTTTCTTGTTGTAGGATGCAGAGGAGCTAGGGGCCATTTTTATCGGCACAGAGTGCAAAGGTTACTCGGTTAAGGAGTGTGTCCCGCTAAACGCCCGGGGAAACAAGTGGAAGTGCGGATTGATGGTGGAAACGCCCGAGCGACAGTTCGTCTTCATGTGCGAGCAGGAGAGGGACCAGAGGGAGTGGCTGGAAGCGCTCAGGAAGGTTTTGTCCAGACCCATGTCACCCCAGGATTATACCAGTAAGCAAGACTTCAGTGTGCTTTAAATATGCTGGTGCCCAATTTTCCATATTATTTTTCTTTGTATTCAGAGGAAAAATTGAACTCCATTAACTAAATACTGTACGCGCTGCCACTATTTAATCCTCCACAGGCACAACCCATAACCATCACCCCATTTTACAGAAAGGGTTGGACATTGTGGAAATTATCAGTAAAAGCAGAATGACATATTTTGCACAAATTTTAAATCTTATCTCTTATCTATGATGTTGAAACTGGGAAAATGTGTTGGGTTTTGCTCATTTTTAATTTAATGAATTAAATGGCAGGAACACATTTCAAAAAAGTTGGGCGAGGGGGATTAAATGACTGGAAAAGTTGTGTAATGCTGTAAAACAAACATGTGATGGAGAGTGATGACAGTAAATAGTTTAAAATACTGTCTATTGTCTATTTAATCCATTACTGACCAGTTAATCCATCATTGGGATTGTTTTCAATCCCTATAAGGGGATTGGAACTAGTCAAACACTTGAAAGACTGCAACTGCAAAGAATTTGAGGAATTTTTCATTCACAGAACAAAATGTTATAAAAGACTCTGTATGAAGAGGACGAGGCTGAAAACCTATATTGCATGACCATTATCTTTAGGTCCAGTCATGATTCTGGTCGCGCTTTATGGTTTTCTCACTGCTGCATGCAAAAATGCAATTTTGCCTTTTTCCTTTTACTTTGTAAAGAAAAAAATTTTATGCTTCAAAAACACTGCCACCTTCTCTGGACCTCAGTTTTTTAAGGCCTCACTCACCCAGGCCTAGAGACTGATTGGCCAACCAATGGTCACTAGGGAAAAATGTGTATCCCCTCCCTGATTGGCGAGTAGTTGCTAGGTGACACACTCACAATGAAGGATCTGCACTAAAAATCTCTTCATGATTATTCTTGTTGCTAGCACATGGACTTGCAGGGATGACATTTTGTTTGATAAGTGTTGCTAACTACTGCCTGAGCTCCAGTGAAACTTAAAAAGTGCAACACAAACTGGAAATGGAGAACTTTCACTTTCAAAGTAAAATTCCAGCTTTACTGCTGCAACCAGTTCCATTACAGTAGTGCAATCTTTACTCTGAAGGTGAAGGGTCTCCGTTCAAAAGCTTGCATCTCTGATGGTATGGAGGCACATCAGTGTCCATGGAATTGGTAGCTTGCGCATCTAGAAAGGCAGCATTAATGCTGAAAATACATGCAGGTTTTAGAGCAGGGGTGGGGGAACTCCAGGCCTAAATGGCCAGTGTCCTGCAGACTTTAGATATCACCCTGGTCAACACACCTGACCACCCTTGAGGCCTGGACTTCCCCCACCCCTGTTTTAGAGCAATGGATGGATGGAGTACCATCCATTGCTTGAATCCATTGCTTGGTATCCTTGGATGGATACCACTACCCCAGACTGTCCTCCTTTTTAAAGAATTCAACGCATTACAGCCACCAAGTACACTGAGAAATAACTGATGCTTTTAACATGGTAGGACCAAAACAGAAAAAATGTTTAGCAGTTTGGAGCATACTGGATG